CACTTAAATTTTGCATTGTCCTTAATGCAAAATCCAATGACAAGGTAATGACAAGAGAAAAAGAGGATCAATAAGGGAGTAAACAAAAACAAGATTACTTTTCTACTAGAATAGCTCCCCCACACTTATCCTCTTCAATAATTCAGTTAAGCACAGTTAATCAATGCAAAGTTAAGAGAAAATAAGTGAGGAAAGAGACAACCTTGTGCTTAAAGCGCCTTAAACTCTTAAAAGAGAAATTCTCATCAATAATGAGAAACATGAAACTTAGCAAAAAGGATTGCTTTTGATGATTGCACTTTCTTGGTGGTGGCTCAGGGTCAATTGAAAGAGGTCCAAGAGGATATGGTGGAGTTTGGTGTTGAGGAGATCCCTTCCAAATATGTGCCTGCACAGAAAACAACCTAGCAGCAGTACCAAATCTAACAATATAGACTTCGAGAGATTTCAAATAAAATAAAAACATTTTATGATTTAGACTCTTCAAATAGCTACAGCATCCAAGAAAGTCAATGATACTCCCATCAGTAGGAGTCAAACAATCATTTAAAGTTTCAAAACACTTAGGTTCACGTGACGTGGAAACTGAAGAATCCAATTGACAGTTATTAGAGTACAGCACATCACTATCACATTCACAATAGGTGGGAGGTAAAAGCATGAAAGCAGAAGAAGATTCATACAGAATACTACTATTGACACAACTAACTAAATCAGGAGGCAAATCACGAGACAAAACTTGTTGGAAAGGTTCATCTACATGCATAATTTTGTCAATCAAAATTTCAGAGTCTTTCTCAACAACACTAGAAGCTACTAACTCAAAGAAATTATCATGCAATTGGTTCTCAAGGCAATGATCATTCTCACATTTGTCATCAATAATTGCACTCAAACAAGATTTAGCAATCTCAATGTTCTCATACTTATCAATAACAACGCTTCCAACACTGTGAAGAGGAACATGATTGGCATGTAAATCATCACACAAAACAGCATCTTCATCCAAATCACTACCACTAAGAGCAACAAAATGAGTATTAGCATGTTCAAAAACATGAGGGGATTCACAGACAATTTCTTCATCCACCTCAATATCACTCATATTATCAAAAGCTTCAACAAGAATAGTAGTTATAGCACAAGGGTCAATCTCCTCAAGAAGATGATCAATATTACCTGATATAGGACACAAGTCCTTATGAGTTTGTAGATGCTCATGCTTCATTTCAGCTTCTTGTACGAGTAAATCTGGGCACTTTGGCTCATCCTTCCCATTCTCAGATTCAATTTGAGCTATATCACTTAAGAACTTCTCCAATGCACTCTTATTCTCCTAACTCTTCTTCTGATTCCTTTGAGATTCCAGATATCCGTGCTTCTTCAAGTAATCATGGTAGTATGAATTTAAGCGGTCATAAGCTTCTCTTAAAATCGTATCTGGTCCTTCTTAGGAATAGTAAGAAATGGGTCAGGTTCATTGAATTGAGGTTCATGAGATTGGGGGAGAGAATGGTAGTTGGATTGGGACGAGGGTTGGTGGTAATATTCATATGGAAAAGGAGATGGTTCTTGGTGGTATGTATACGGTGGAGATATATTATTAGAGTATGGTTGGCGAGGTGGGAGTGATGGGTTAGGTGATTGATATAGAGGATGGTTCATCCAAGAGGTGTCATGAGCATAGATGTGATTAGGCATTTGAGACTCTAGTTGAGCTTGGAAGGAGTCCAACTGTTGTAACAACTCTTCAATCTCTTGAGAATATGTTGAATTAGAAGGTGCTTCATTCCACGTACTATTTCCTGCAAAAAATTGAGAATGTGAGAGTAGATCATGATTGCTATTAAACCAAGCCATGAAAAACAAAAAACAAAAAACCAAAAACAAATGCAAACTACTAAAAAAAAAACTAACAAAAATGAAAACTAAAAAGGCTCAACAAATGAACCCCAATCAAGGCTACTTGACACTTAATTACTAGGGAACCAATTTCTTGGCTCCCCGGCAACGACGCCACTTGAAGTTGAACTTCCCTTAATTGTCGCTTTGGGGTTACTCCAAAAATTAACCGAATTAATGCAATATAGTGCACAATCCGGGTCGTATTCACTTTAAGGAGCCGAAAATGAAAGTGAATCCTAGTAAATAAATGCAAGTAACCTTAACTATAAAAAGCTTTTTCTTTAATTATTTTTTTATTATATTTTTTTCCTTTTTTTTTCTCTTTTTTTTTAAATTTTTATTTTTATTTTTAAATCTTCCAAAAACCTGTAAACAAAATTCAAGAATAAGGTAGCATTAATTGTCCTTAAAAATCAATTAATCATAATTAAATCAAAACATGACAATTTTGCCCCTATAAAATAATAATTCAAAATAAAACAAAATAAATCAATTAAGGCAAAAAGGGACCAATTAAGCTGACAAAACTCATATAAAAGATACCAAAATATATCAAAATAATTGAGTTTGTCATCGAATGACCTCAAATTGTGTCTTAAATGTATTTGAACGATAAAACACAGCTTATTTTTCAAAAACACTCTTATTTTTTAAAAGGGTGGATGGGAGAGAGAATGAATAGGAAAAAAAACATATGGGAGGACATGTAATTAATTGAATGTGAAAAAAATAAAAAAGCATTGTGATGCATGATTTTTATATTGTTGATGTTGCAGGTTAATTTAACATTGTAATTATGAGATAAACTATTACATGATTTGGGAATAACCTATTTAGTCAGTCCACATTCTTCATATTTTTAAGTGGGAGGGGATCATTAGATGATTGGTAGAACATTATCGTTATATTGAAACTAGAAAATGGATTTTAGAACTAGATCATGGCGTGTGAGTTCATAGAACTATTGATGATGGGTGGATATATTGATTTGCTTTTGGAACAAACGAAAGTTTAACTGTTTTTCATCAAGTTTGAAGTCAGATCTTCTATAGATCAGATTATGTCGTTAATTAGGAAAGTTCTCTATAGGTGATTATTACTCAGAATATATTACCCGTAAATATATTATACATAACTTTCAGCTGTAATGACATGCTATAGGTGATGCATTAAGAACAAGATGATTAGTATCATATAAAATGAAAAGGACAATTGTATATGATCTCAAATTTTTAGCTAGGTCTCCGTGGCAACCTTCTTTTTTTTTCCACATCCTTTAACTTTTTTTTTTTGGGACTGACATCTTTTAATTTTGTTTAATCAAGTTTTCATATAATTTTACACGGCATAATGTTTAGAAGTATATTGTTAGTAACGCGTGCCTCTTAGTTGTCAGTTAGTTAGAGCTAAACTGACTGTTGAAAGTATAAATACAGCTATGATTTTACATTGAATTTTGTTGAATAAAGTGGAAATCAGTTTTCGTTCTCTTCTCTCTCTCCCCCCCCCCCTGCCTGTACCATATAAGGAGAGTTTGAACTCTTCATCACCCACATTTTGTCTTAAATGAAAGTAAGCCCTATGCCTACATGACAATTAAGTTTAATTTCTAATCCTCTGTGTTTTATCGGCAAAGAAAAGAAAACTTTTGTGTGCACGTGTGCGCGCACGTTCAGAGCAAGAATTCTCTTCACGATGTCTGGATTCAGACTGTGATACACGACTTTAGTACTCATCCATTAATGCAGTGATAAATCCACGTGTTTATAATGTTCTACTGAGTTATAAAACATAAATATGGACGTATAATCAAAAGCGCTCGATTTCTTTTATACATACAGATAGATTCACAAGTTTCAACCGTCAAAAGCACAAACAAGGTGTTCATGCAGGGGAGATTTGGAAGGGCTTAACTAGGTCACTAAGGTCTTGTTTGGTATGAAGCATTAAAAATGAGGGATAATAATTGACATTGAGAGTGAAAAACTATATTAAAAGAGTGTTTGGAATGAGTAATTATTTGATACTTGGGATTAGACAAATCTATATATGTGAAATTAGAGAATACCATAGGAGAAGGTGTTATTCTCCAATTCCATCTATATGGGATTGCCTAATCCAATGTGATAAGAAATCACTCATGCTAAATATTCTTTTAACATATGTTTTCAATTTTAGTTTCAATCCTTATCTCTTATTTTCAATGTTTGGTATCAAATGGGACCCAAAGTTATCATCCAGTCCAATATTAAATCAGCCAACAGCAAGTGCAGAAACACTCCATATCACGGAAGAACAGAGGTAAGGAAGGTATCTTGGTGTATTTTGTTCAGTGTTGCTTCCCGGTCCTTGTGGAAAGCGAGAAATGCAAGAGTTTTCAAGGGTGAATATCCTGATACTTACAAGCACGAGTAGCGAAGTGGGGTTCAAGATTAACTCGGGGATTGGCAGGGTGAAAAGGGATTTAGTTGTTATTTTCACATTCCTCCGATAACCGTATCCATAAGCAATCTTCAGTTCCCACCAACAATTGCACGCCATATTTAATTTCAATACATTAATTATTACTCTTATAAATGTAACTGAGAGGGAAATATATATATATATATATATATATAATATGAAGAAGAAGAATAAGGAGTCATGAGCACATATGGATCCTATTACAGGAAATACAACCAACATATATTAAGCATATTAACCTCTCCATAACCAGTTTCCTGGCAGAAGAGTAAAGTGAGCTATACTCTCTACAAGTATGTTTTGATTGAAGAGAACAGAGAAGAAAGAAATGTGATTTAGATCTAAATAAGAGATATGTCTAATTAGATCGAGCATTCCCTTCTTAATTCTTCCTCTCTCTGCAATTAAACTCCCATATCTTAAACTTCACGATGTAAACTCTTGTTACGAGGCCCATCAAAAGAAATATAAGGAAAGAACTACCATTTGCTTACATATCCTTTTTAGGATCTTCTGGAAATCCTTGCATCACTTGGTACAAAAACTCAGAATTATTGATAAGGAACAAGGAATAAAATTCATCCACGTCCGCTTCATTTGTTGCAAAGTTCAGACTATAATAGTTATCCTGGTCATATATATTTTCTGGGACCAATGGTTATTGGTTGGGTCCCAAAATCCCCGAATTCTTCAACTATTTCCCATGCGGCATTATTAGCATCGCTTGATTCTTCAATCGGTGAGCTTTCCAAGACATTAGCGGAGGAAGCAGCAACGAAACCAAGCAGAGGGTTTTCAGGTTCGAAATGCTTTGTTGTTTCTCTTTCACAAGTACAACTAGAATTCATTCTGAGCTCAAATTTGTCCGCTTGATTGCACTCCAGTTGCTTCTTTAGGTGGCTATGCCAACGGTTCTTAATCTCGTTGTCACTTCTCCCTGGTAATCTTTCGGCAATCAAAGACCATCTGCGACCACAAATGTTTTATATGTTACACACACACACACATGAAAGCATCTTACGTTTACTTGATATTTAAAGCACTTGAGCTTTGAAGTCAATTGATTCTTTCACATATAATTAAAGATTGAATTTTTCTTTAGTAACTCTAATTTCCATCCCCATGATGGAATCACAATGAGATCTAGCTGGTTTGCAGTGCAAACTACAAACTATATCTTATGTTTAGAACTGGAAGTAGTGTTAGGAATGTCAAGGAAACAAATTAAAACTCGATCATCCAACTTAAATTTTCACCCTCTTAAGAAAAGATTTTTCAAGTGAAAATCAAAACCTCTTCGTATATCCTCTAACTTTTTCCAAGTCTTCCTAGCCATTTTCAGGGAACTGAAAAAGAGTCACAAAGATACTTATAAACGAATTAATGAAACTTATTAAACTCAAATATTATTAGATCTAGCTACATATAGCTAGCGTCGAAGTTCATGCTTGTGCAACAAAGTCATTAACGACTGAGATACCAAGAAATCCCAGGATATCCGTGTTCCTATATTTGCAAATATCTGTTAAGGAAAAAACCTTGATGGATACGAAAAGCTCGCATGAATCCGGGAGAGCATATATCAGAGGTGAAATATGCTTACTTATTTCCAAGTTGTTGATGTAATTTGATGATGAGTTCGTCTTCTTCTTGGGTGTAATTTCCATGCTTTACGCCCGGACGAAGGTGATTTAGCCAGCGAAGTCGGCAACTCTTTCCACACCTTGATAAACCTGTACGTAATTGCAGCTGAAACTCCATCAAGATCTCTTTAACAAGAAACTAAAGTTCATTAGGCTGAAACTGACAAGTTGGTTTTGGCGTGGGTTTGGTTAACAAATTCTTTTGTGTGTGCGTGTGTGTGTGTACGTACCCGCGTGTTTGGGGAGTTGGCGCCAATTTCTATGACCATATATCTCAACATATGCTCTTAACCTTTCATCCTCTTCCTTACTCCACGCACCTCTCTTTATTCCGTTTTTGTCATAGTAAGGGCTTCTCGTCATTGCCTATGTATACTAATAAACTCAGTTTGTTTGGGTATCTCAGACAAGACTTCAATTCAACTATGGGAACATATGCACTTATAGAAGGCAGCAGACACTCGTATATAGGAACCTCAGCTTCACTCAATAATATATACTGAAGTCTTAGCTAGCTAGCAATGAGATTGGACTGCGCGCTGAAACAGAGATGGGTATGTTCTCTCGTTCATGGAAAATTCCCCTAATAGATTAAATTAAAAAATAGGAGTGCAAATTGTTCTGAGAAATGGCTCTTGATCGTCACATGCGAAATAAAGTTTTCTGGTCTTTCGGAAGAAAAATCGACACCGTTGCGTCGGTCCACGTCTTTGATTAAAGAAACACCCGCCTACTCATCAGTGTTTTCTTTTTCTTTTTTCCTTTTTTTTGGGGGGAGGGGGGAGGGCATTGTGCAAATTACTTTTTGACTTCGGGGACGTTAATAAAAACACTTCGTCTGCAAACACGTGATCGTTGCGACCTTCCCCCCCCCCCCCCAAGAAAGATGCAATAAGAAATTTGCAGTGTTTTTTTTTCCTTTGCAGAATACTTTTAGACGATTTTCCATGGTTTAAGATTTATTTAATCAGCATGAGCTCTTTGTCGAGAATCTAACGTACGGAAGTACATAGAAAAAATTACACATAGCTCCCAGCAGCACAATTTATCAATACAAGGTCATTTAAAATCTCAAAATAAATAGGAGGTCCAATGGGACCTAAAAGTAATATACTACCTCCGGTTCTTAATATAAGACCCTATTTGACTTTTAGTTTGATCCTAAATATAAGACCTTATCCACTTTGTCTCTCATATTTACTCAATTTTTTTAAGATAGTACTTTTAATAATTATAGTTCTAGTTAATACACTTGATTAATAAGGATATTTTAAGAAAGGCAACACATATTCAGGACAAATAACTAACTCAACTTACTTTCTTAATCTCTTCAAATTAGTCAACTGACTCTTATAATTAGGATCAGAGGTAGTATTTTAAATAAGAAATTACATCATTATCCCTATACACAAATTGATAAGCTCATATGCGTGGATGAACAAGTCAATAAGAACGTATTGACAAGTCAAAGGACATCAGTTAACAACTAAATTTATGAGATAACATAGCCTTCATATAAGATCAAGTTATCACAAAAGAGTATTATTATATGACAATTTTTAAACTGAAATCATGTGTGATCAAAGCATGCATATTGAGATGAAATAATTGGATTATATCATAATTTTGTTACAGACAGCTATTAGGTTGATAGCTAAATTTATGAGATAATATAACCTCACATAAGATCAAATTATACAAAATTCTTATACAACATTGACAAGGGTAACGGCTTATTATATAATGGTGACATTGTGTAAGAATTTTCCCGATTATACGCGCACACACACACACACACACAAGTATATGCTGCATAAGTGGAATTGAAATTATTGCGGCTACATCTCATTGTTTATGTACTATAGTGTAGACGGGATTTAATGCCTGAAACAAATTTCGTGTTTAGACCCCGCATGCCCATATCCAAAAAGTAGGTGCAATGTTAAAAAAACCGGATCGAACCGGACGGTTCAGACTGGAAACCGGTGAACCGGTCACTTGTCGGTCTGGTTCATGCTATGAACCGGAAAATTTTTGAACCGGTTCAAACCGTAGTGACTCGGTAATAACCCGGTCAACTTGTTGGGTTAGATAGGTTAATTGGGTCACTCTTTTTTTAAAAATAAAAACCAAAAATTGGAAGTTTGAGGAGAAAAAGAAAGAGGAGGAGGAGGGCGGAAGAGACAGCGGCGAGAAGGAGGAAGAATGGAGAAAAAGGAAGGGAAGAGGAAAGCAACTTGCCAAACTTTTCTTGGAAGCATAGAGCGCATATGTTGGAGTGTTGATTTTGCAAGCATCATTGCTGCCATGTCCAGCCTGTTTCTGCTTAGGAGGAGGAGTTGAGGAGGAGAACAAAAATATATTCAAACTTGAGAGAAAGATGAACGAGAACCGATGGGGAAAAATAAGTGAAGGGAAGAAAGGCATAAGTTCTGGAGTTCTAAGTCAAATCAAAACACTACAGAGAGTTTTTTTTTTTAAAAAAAAAGATATTGTATGGGCAGACTATTCGCTGAGGACTTGCAGGCTCTAGCACAACTTTTTTCCTTCTTTTTCGTTCTTCGAAGCATTGATGTGATTTTTCATTCATCTCATCTTTATTTTTTTTAACCGACATTTCTCCCATTAATCCATATATATATATATCAATTATATATAAATAAATACTATAATTTTGAAGATAGTGGAGGGAAGGCCGGTTAAAAAGAAAATTGAGGAGAGCTGCTTGGGTGTAATACATACTATTTAATAAAACATTCTTAATGTTATTACAACTAAATTATTATTATATTTCTTAATTTTTTGGTTGGCAGCAATTATTATTGTTGTTGTATTTTTTATCTTTAATTAAATTATATTATTTTAATATTACCGGTTTGATCCGAGTTGACCCCGATCTGACCCACTAACCCTTGAACCACTATCTTAACCGGTTTAGTGTCCGGTCCGGTTTTTTGTTCCTTGGTTAATTACATTACTAGAGTTGTAAAAGTCCAAAAAAAATAGTGACCAGTCACTAGAACTCCAGTGACTGGTTGTCGACTGGTCGCCCGAGCTCAGGGGACCAACGGCCTGCCTAAACCCCTGCGGTGGTTGCCTGTGCCGGAGTTTCGGCGACCAGCCAATTGATAAGGATGTTTGATAATTTTTTCAAAAAAAATTAAGGACAATTTGGTTTTTTCAGCAAATTTTAAAATCTCAATTTAGTCATGTGTGACCAAATGAAGATTTTCAAATCTAAGTATCATTTTTGTGCCTTTTTTTTTTCAGATTTGAATTTAAATAATTTTTTTTAAAAATGATCAAAATATTAAAATCACGTGGACACCATGTCAATCTAGTACTGCTAGCGGGGGTCCCTTCCTAAACCAGTGTAAAAAACCTAAAACAACCGACACAAATAGGCATTTTTCTGTACGACTGTAATAGTAAAAATCAGAAATTCTTTGGTACACAACAAATAAAAACAGCACCCCCCCCAAAAGAAGACCAATTCATAATGTTTGGAGTCTTTAGACTAGTTTGATTAGATTAAGAAAATTAGATAAGTTAGTTAATTATAAGAAACATGACATGTTTTTGTTAAAATACCATAATAATCTTTCTTAATATATTTCTTCTCTTACTTACTTGATTATGGCTAATAGAGTATTTATAGAAGTAATTTAAAAAAAATTAATAAAAATAATAAATAAGTCTTATATTTAGAACTAAAATTAATTTAACAATTAGGTCCTATATTAAGGATTGGACTGAGTACTACTAAAATTCTTGATTTCTCTCATGAATGTTTAATTATTCCCATCCGGTCCCTGAAAACACCCCCAATCCTAACTACCATGTCAGTCTGAAGTCAACCCTCATCCTACAAAGGGTCGTGTGAATGTAAAACTAACAAGGTTTCAACAAAGGTTCGTGTGAATGTAAAATAACAAAGTTTGGGTGGAAACCGCGTAGTCGAAAAAGTTAAATACAAGGTATAGTTTTAAAATGTCTAATTGTACGGAATCGGTATTTTTTAATTAAAAGATAAGGAGTGACACAAAAGCAAACAGTATCAAGCATTGACTTAACTTTATTTGTCAACCAACGAATCCCGAGAGTATCTCTTAATACCCCACGGGGAAAAAGGACCACCAAAAGAAAGTTCTCGTTCAAATTCGTACACCCATATTTAATATCTTGTTATCCCTATGGGAATTTGCCATGAAATTTGAAAGCATATCCGTGTTTTCCAGCATGTTGCCAGCTGGGGCTTCGATATCATTGAATGGAGCCAAGGTTCTTATATATATACACGAGTATGGGCTGCCTTCTGTAAGTGCATATGTTTCCATATTTGAAGTCTTGTCTCAGAGAACCAAACAAGTTTAGCAATATACATACATACATATATATATATATATATATATAGGTGACGACGAGAGGGCCTTGCCATGACAAGAATGGAATAAAGAGAGGTGCGTGGATTAAGGAGGAGGATGAAAGGTTAAGAGCATATGTTGAGAGATACGGACACAGTAATCGCGTCAACTCCCCAAACAAGCAGGTATATACACGCACACACACACTTGAACTTGTTAGGCAAACTTGATCCAGATTTTGGTTATGCATTACTCGGTGATGGCCATGGTGATCTCTTTCGGTAATTCTCACTTGGATGTGTTGTTATATACTACCCCCGATCGTTAATATAAGAGTTCGTTTGACTTTTATTTTGGTCCTAAATATAAGACCTTAATCTACTTTGTCTCTCATATTTATTTATTTTTTCAAGGTAGTCCTTGTAATAATAGTAGTTCTAATCAATACATTTGATTAGTAAAAATATTTTAAGAAAGATAATACCTACTTGTTACAAATAACTAACTTAACTAGTTTTCTTAATCTATTCAAATTAGTTAACTAGCTTTTATATTAAGAACTGGAGGTAGTACATCTTTTGTGAGCATCAACCAACTTGTGTTTTCAACGTTGTATATTCTTGGCGTTGCATATGTTTAACCTAGTAATTACGAGATGAATTAAATTAGGTGATTTGGGAATAACTTGTTCTTTTTTTTGCGCCATGGATTTGGGAGTAACTTGTTTGCTCAGTCCATATTTTTAAGTGGGAGGAGAAATTAGATGATTGGGAAAACATTAGTGTTATATTGAAACTAGAAAGTGGATTTTAGAATTAGGTCATGGTATTGGTATGTGAGTTCATAAAACTGTTGATGTCTTGATGATAGGCGTGGATTCATTTAATTTTCTTTCCCATATGGGACGCACAGAAGTATATATAACAGCTGATCTCATGTAGTCTCATCAGGATATATACTTTTTCCATGAAGTCGTAGAAATCAGATTTTCTATAGACC